GACAGAGATCCAATGTGAAGTACCTTTACTTAGTTCCAGGAGTTTTTGCTTTTTTGTCAGATCAAGTATTCGCCATGGAGGTTTTTTCTTAGTCAAAATAAAGTAAAACGTTGAGTTTAACCGTGGATTTATTGAGTCGTTCTCAACAAATATTATTATCATTATCATTAATATTATTATAATTATATAGTTATAACAAGCTCACAGCATAGTTTAACCCTATACACCCTCACATCATAATCCACATCCTCTACATGTATGGATACTCTTCTCTAAACATTTCCTTTGGTACTAACAAGAAGAATTTGTTTAGCAATTAAAGCTTCTGAGGTTAGCAGTCATTTCCTTAATTATCATGATCTTGATGAATGATTCAGCAGTATCAATGTAAAGATAAATTATATACATGTACTGGTAACTCCCAAGATCTTCTTAGGAATTCTCCTTACTGTCTGCGATACAATTCTTATCATGTAAGTTTGGAGAATTTGGTATTGGATCAACCTAACATCCCCTAATTGATATTTTTCTTTATTCCCATTACTCCTTTACTTGATTTTGTATTGATATTGTAAGGAGAAATTCTGTCTTGGTCCCTCATGGGAGTTAATGGGTTAAGGTCTAGAGGATTAAGTTTCTGACCCAGAATGGGCAATCATTGCATTGGGTGACTTTCTCTTACTTCAATATAAATTGTATTTTTACAGAACCATGTATCTACAAAATAATCTAGCTGTACAGAGTTGCTTGGAGATTCAAATCTTTTTGTCTGGTTGTGTTGATGCTTCTGTAAAAAAAGCCACTTACACACAAGCTCTGCAAAGGACACAGAATTAAAATGAAAACGTAAAGAGTCATGTTAAACTTGTATCTACAGGCAACAACATGTGACATTATATGAATATGCTGGATAAAAGCATCATTTACACTACCAAGTTACTTCCCATATGCTTTCCTATTGTCATATATTCCTTAGCAGTTCTTATAGAAAAATATATTCACCACCTAAGATTTTTTCCTTCCAAAGTCTTCTTGTCTAAAATCACACGTCAGATTTTGGTCATGGAGACTTGACCACATACAACTTGCTGAGAATAATTGGCCAGTATAGATGACTGCACCAGGAAACTTACAAAGGAAATTTTTTCTGTTACACATAACTCTGAGGGAAATCTGCCCTAATAATTGTTCCTGACTTAAGTCAACAACATTGGACAATTTTTCCTTGAATACTTACCACTTGCTGTACCACTGCACCTTACTGTTATCATATCTTGACCACAAAACAACATCTTCTTATCATATTTATTGACTTTATTAAGTCAATACTACATTCTTTGTGGTTTAGGAAAATCAATTAATTTAATGAATACTGATTCAAATACAAAGATAACCTGTTTGTGACAACCACATATCAATGGCCACTGCATACCTTTAAAACAAATATTTTGATAATTTGGATTGATATCATGATATGCCTGATCAGCTGTAAATGAGCCACAGCACTTCTGTATTGCTACATTTGATTGTAGGTCAAGACCACACTATTAATGTGCAATAAATCAAAAGAAACAGGAAATGCAATTATCTGAGAAGACTTTTCCTCTACTCCGCAGTTTATCTGATGAGCAGTTGCTTAAATTTACATGTGGAGTGTACCTCCAACTGGTTAAAACTGAAAAGAAGTGTAAACAATGAAATACTTAGATCAGAATAACTTTTCTCATTTGAAAGTTTTTGTTGCTTTGCAAGAATATATCTTGGGTAGCTTTGAATTCAAAATATATCCCACAAATTCATGTCTCAGCCTGCACATACATTTGAAAATTAAAACATTTTTGAACAAACAAAATGGTATTTACTCAGATTGAATGAAAGCATTTCCGCTGCGGTTCAGACAAGTTTGTTGACACCTTCTACTTAAACAGGAAAGAGTAGGAGGGTATGAACCAAATAAGGTAAACTTATTTGCAGAGAGTAACAATTTCGTTTGCAGTTTGGCAATGAAACTGAAATCACACGATAAAAGCATGCAACAGAAGATACTACCATCAAATAAATTTTTGAATTTCAAATCAGACTGCATTACAAAAGAAAAAATTGTTATCATATAACCTTAATTAAATTCCAAAACACATAATCCTTTGGAAGGGATAGTTTATCTGACGAAACGTTCAGACGATTATCTTCACTTGTGCTCCTAAATCGAAGGTGGTTTGCGCAAAAAAAAAAAGAATAAAACCACACAGAAAAGTGCTCGATCAAAGATCAATACAGCTAAAGTATAAGTAGCATGTGACAAGTCGAAAATAATCACAAGTTGCGTTTCCGGAAAAATTCACGCAATAATAAATGCAACAAGGACCCTTGAGATAAAATTTTCAATATGAATTTTAACGGAATACTCGTTTTCTCGACACAGAAGTTTTTTGTATCATCTCTCAGCGGCGAAACACCAATGTCAATGAAGTTGAAAATGTTACTTTCTCAGTTGAACGACCACTTACATCACTACTCAGGATTTCAAGATTACATCGCGTCGTACAATTTAAAAGATTTTCATTACTTTCTGGTTAACTGCACGAGCTACGATGATAATAGTTATAATTTCTCGATGTAAACATCATAGCTATGATAATCCATTTATTTCACTGACCTTCCCGTCTTCATACCACAAGATAGCATGGTTCCTCGACAAGACCTTGCAGTCGAAGATACAATTGTTTGTGGCCGGTCTACTCTTCGCTACTGAACGTCCTATTTTTACCGGCTCCACTAAAGGAACCCTCCTTTCCTCAAAAGGATGGGAATTAGGCCGCGAGGTGAATACTGCCATCGCCATTTTCCTGATTTCATGTTGTTCATACGCCGACTAAAGTGTACGTGAGAAATTGACAACTAGAGCGCATGAGCAGTTCAAACGGTCGGCTCTACTGTCATGTGATTCTAAAACTCTACCCTCTAACCCTCCCACGACAAAATAACAACAACAAAGCAAAATTGAGTAATGCTTCTAAAGATAAACGAGCGAATAGTAGCAAAGAAATAAGAAGAGAAAGGAATTAAAGGAGAATCGATTAAAAAAAGAAAAGCCTATGACTTGATTATAGTAGCAAAGCCAAGATAAGAAACTGTGGTGTTAATAAAAGTCATCACCTGATCCTAACAGCTGAGCACGGCAGTACATGCCAGTTTGCCAGAGCACGGAGCTAGGTTAAAGGAAAGGCCCCCCCGCCAATTTTCGTAGCAGTATCACGATGTAGATACGTGTAGGATTCCTTAAAAATTCATCACAATAACATTTGCGACAACTAGCGTTTCAGATTGTTGTTCGTTTATTCTACACTGAGAATTGGCCAATATCCACTTTACACAAATGAAAAGTTGTTGTCTAACTCAAAACTAGAAAAATTAAAATAATGCACCCAATCGAAACATGGCGTCCAATTTAAATTGTCATTGTTCTGGACTCACTATCCTCTCACACATGTGATAATCCTTTTGGGTTTCCACGTGAGTCCAGGGGCACTTTCCATTTGATCAAAATTTTCGAGATTTCCGGTCTGAAATCGAATGGAATGGGAAAAGTTCCGGGAGAAGTTTTCGAAAATTTTGGAATGCGTTGTGAGTGTGCCCTCTTGGATACAGTCGGACGCGTTCCATTCGATCAGCGAAAAATCCGATATTTTGAACCGGTGATTTTTGTTGAATGGAAAGCGCTCCAGAACCATGGCAATTCAAATTGATAGAAGTTCCCTTATTTCTTACATACCATACTGTCTTAAAGCAATGTTTGATTTTCGTAGTTTCTTTCCATAATAATACATCTAAATACAAAGAATTTAAAGAAATTTAAGAAATACAAAGAAATTAAATGCAATAAACCACGCAGGCATTCTTGGTCGATTTGATCAAAAACGCTTAAATGTAGGGATGGGCCGATACCGATACCAAATATTCGATACCAGCGATACCGAGGTGGGATCGAAAAATATCGATACTAGCGAAGAGTATCGATTCTTTCGATACTGCACGTGACCTACGTGCGCTTTAAATCTCTCGCGACTAACCACTGACAAGCAGCCGAAAAGACTCCGGGCTCGAGATCGTGCATGTGCACATTTGTGCGATGTAAGATTTAATTGCCGCAATGTATCGGTCAAAGTGGCGGTTTCTTCCATTCCCTAGTACAACATTTCACTGTGAAATAGGACCTAATTTTATTAACTATAAATGTTAAGTCACTCAGTACAACGGCAACAAAATCACAACTCACAACAATCCAGGCATTGCAAGGACATATCTGGAGTAACAAAAATGAGTCACAAACTATGCCAGCTTACTAAAGAAAAATCTCGAGCGAGAAAAGCACTGAGAGAGGTTAAATAGTTCTAAAGCATGGCACCCTGTATACCTGGGAGTCTCTGATGTATCGTGTATTGAAGCGCAGGATCCATAATAAGTCGGGCACCCTCGGTTGGTTATTATCAGTGACCAGTGCAGTGACTGATAGCCTTTCAGTGTACGCCATATGATCATGAATGCAAGTGAAAGCTGCAGATTGCTTAATACTATAAGCCAAAAGATTGTACCATTGCGGTCTTCTTCATTTCCTCGGGAAACTTAAAAATGAGTCCCAATAAATTAAGATTTTTGACCTGTTTGACTGTCTTGCTGATGCTACCATAGAGAACTGAACAGAAAACCATAGGAGTGTCTCGTTTAGTCACTCAGATCACGTGACTTACTATTTATTTCCACGACGTCACAGTATCGGTATCGGTATCGATATCGAAGAAAAAAGTAAATATCGTACTCGGTATCGTATCGATTCGGAAAAAGCCGTATCGGCCCATCCTTACTTAAATGTACTCAATGACGGTAACTAGGAGCCCAATATCTAGGTAATGGCACCTGCGGTAACCTGCTTGGTATAGATCGCGTTTCTAATCCTAAATGCCTCTGTTTAGCATTGTTGCTTCATTTTGTAGTAATCTATGTTAGCTTTCTGTTCCCACTGCCTTCTTGTAGTAAGATAACTGTATGGGGGAGAATGAACGGGGGCGCCCATCTCTTTTTGCAGGGCTCAAATCATAGAGTCTACCTCTTCCCCTTGCTAAGCTTTCTAGAGCATTCTCCAAAGCTTTGAATCCTCCCATGCATGTTTTAGCTTCCCTGTTATTCTCAACTTCCTCTTTCTTACGAATGCACCACTGCTGCATATTTCTCCAAGTATTCCACAGTTTTAAGAACTCCGCTCTGAATTTTCTGTTTAATGCCATTTGAATGCAAGGATTTAAAGCACAGTTCGCATGCGCAATAAATGCAATGAGCAACGACCAATGGGAGGCCAGGTTTCTTGTTACGTTTGGTTCGAAAACCCTGCACATGTTAAGCACGTGAGGAGGAAGCCAGCTTAATGCATATATTGCTATGACTACGATTAGCATGCGGGTGCCGTTACGTTTAGCTTCCGCGGCAGCATGTCGGTGGATGCTATAGATGTTTCCTGGAATGCGTCGAAACCACAGTTTTCGTCCCATGAGAGCGTACAAAGTTGCCATAAACACGAGAGGAAATCCATACAAGAAAACAAATATAAATGAAACGTGAAGTTTCAAAATGACATGGTCGAGGACCACGTAAACACATCGATGCCGCTGACCAGACATTTTCTTGACACCGAACATAGCAAGATAAGGAGACGTGAAAATCACAGACGAGAGCCAAATAACCAGAGAAATAAACTTGGTATTTCGTATCATTGCAACCCTCTTTATGGGGAACAAGATAGTGTACGCCTGGTTCAGCGAGATGGTGATTAAGCCTAAAATGGAAGCTGAAGTGGAGATAGCGTCTATATAATGTATAAGTCTGCAAGAAACTTGACCGAGCATTCCTGGAAACCAAACGTCTGCAGCGAACAGATACCGCACAGCGTGTGGTATGATGAAGACAGCTACAAGAAGGTTGGCGGCAGCCATGTTGGCGAAGACGAAGGTGATGGTTGTTCTTATTGAAGGCTTTTTAAGAACAAGGAAAATAATGAAAATGTTTGTGGTAAGTGCTACTGAAAAGATGACCATATAGGCAGACGCGAACAAGGACACAGTAACCAAACTGAACAGAAGATTCATTGCGCAAGTTTCTCAGTAACACCAATGGCTGCAAATAAAATCAGATTATAATATTACGTTCTATGGGTAATGTAAGTTTAGTAGGCAGAAGTACAGGGAATACTCTCCATGCCGCCTAAAAAATTGAAGAACTTTATAAACACAGCCCCTTTGAAGTTACACTTTTTGTAAGCTCTATCGAGTCTGTCATGTGATCTGAATTAACCCTTAAGCATTTAATTGATTGTTAGCCAAATTCTCCATGGTAAGCCCTCCAGGAAATGTATAGAGAACAGTATGGAGAATATGCAAACTGATGCTAGCGTGTGAAGGGTTCAAAGGCCGATTGCTTTTTCCTCTTTCGGCTTTACTCACTCAGCGTTAAGTTTAACTGTGCCCAGGCCTCTGTGTGGTGGAAAGTTGACGCGCGCCCAGAGGAGGAAGGGAAAGCAAAAAATTAAACAACTTCGCACTCGTACCAAAGAGAAAACGTGAAAGCCTGGCTCCAGAGGTCACATAATCCGGTGGATTTTCGGGCACTCGATGAAATTAAGGGCCGCAAAATCACGAAAACAACTTCCTCGAGCTCGTTAGTGTTCCTTTCATAGTTTTGCCGCCCAAAACTCTCACCAACTAGCTAGCTTTACTGGCCATGTACTCAGGAAAAAAATGTTTTCACTTAATTACGTTTTACATCATAGTCTTATAAAGAATCCACACACTTATCGCAAAGAGCAGGGAACGTTGCTCTTGGTGTTGTGGTCTGGCCTTGATTCTAATATCGGGGGCATCTGCAAAAATTTCCTTAAAAAATTTTGAACTGCTCAATGCAGTTTGGCCAAAGTCCCTTGCAAAATGTTGGAAAGCGTCATGAGCTTTAGGATATGGCGCTCTAAAAGAATCCTTCATTATTATCATAATTATTATTATTATTATTATTATTTATATTAATATCAAAGCATGAGAAGTTCGTAGATCTTCATTCCTAGAGTGCATTTCTGCAGCGAGATGACTATGTATATGTACAGCGCATTTTTTTAACCTTTAACTTAAGCGTAGCACAGAGCTGAGACACGACAGCTTCTCCTATTCAACTGAGAATTAATTTTATTTCCACTTACCGAAAACGTTTTCCCACAGTTTCTTGCGATTTTGATTTGATGCTTTTCTTTATGTAAAGAATATCATAAAAAAAAATGTATTTTGGAATTGTCAGTCCATCTAAAACGTCATTTCATGATGTTTAAGGGCTTTGGATGGTAAACAGCAACTAAAATCTCTCCGCGAGATTTGAATCCTTTTAACGGTGACTACAATATATAAAATACCTTCAATATGCTAATCATTTCCTCAAACATCCTGCAAAGCAATTTCTCGTATAAGATAATTCATTGCTCGCATTTTCGGCGGAAGGATAATAGATGAAAGTTTATCTGCTCTTTTTAAAATAACTGAGATACGTACTACGAGCTCTCTGATTGGTTAAAACCCTATCGCTTATTACACCGGCAAAACCAAAGAAATTTGAAGGTCATTTATAAAAGCAATAGACTGCACTCCGACTCGTAATTTAGTAACTTTTATCGGGCTCTCTCCATGTCTCAAGTGGGTTATTACGCCGGTAAACCGATTGAAAGGACACGCAGTTTGCACCTTTACTGGCTACCTAAAGATAGTCTTCGGCGATTTCATCCAAGAGGGATTTAGTATATAATTAAAATATATCGTAGAAACACGCTTTTTACTGCTTAAACATATGCAACGCACCTTAATTTCCAACCCCCTTAAAAATTTCATTTCATGGTTTGTTCAATTTCTTCTTTATACATTTCTCGATAGGCTCGCGATCGAATAGCACTTTAAATTTGCGGTTTCCTAAAAAAATATTTACGACCGGAAAATATCTACGTTCCTTCAAGGCATATATCTACTCTATCATTAAAACACTTCAGTCACACTATTTATATTTTTTCAATAAAATTCACCGGCCTTAACAAGTTTACACTTCTGACAATTTTAAACTATCACCGACTCAGATCTCGATCTGTTTATTTAGGTGTTTACCCCTTTCACTGACAAGATCTTTTTAGTAATTCTCCTTTCTGTCTGCCATACGAATCTTATGATGTTACTTTGGAGAATTTGGTATTAGATCAACTAATAATCTCCTTGTTGATGTTTTTCTTTATTCTCATTACTTGTCTGCGTGATATTTTATCGGTATTTTAAGGAAAAATTGTTTCTTAGTTACTCATGAGAATTAAATGGTTAATAGACAAAGCTATGGCTGGTTTGCTGAGTTTTATTCTACACATGTGAGAACAACACTTTTTCGGGGAAGTCCGGCAGTGAAATCAATAAAAACACAATTTATTCTCTGTATCCTACCTCCGAGCTTTCATAAACTTAAATTAATCAAAATAATTCTTGTTCAATCAATTTTCAAGCGTCATTTTTCCGAAGTAATTAGCGTAAAATAAGTCAATACACATTGCAGTTAAGTTTGGCAAAATACATTACGTGCATGTGCTGGTAACTTTCGCTTTTTATCTTCTTATGGATGGAAAGCCTTTTCATGTTGCGTAAAATGTTCTCTTTTTGCAATTTTCAGGTGAGTGGATGGAATCACATGATATAAAAGCGCGAGGGGGGGAACACGCGTGCAGTTTTTTTCGATGGATCTCAGTTTTTGAGTTTTCATACCAACGGCCAACGCAGGCTTGAGTTAATCGGATATAAAGAGTCTTGTCGACAGGATTTAAAAACATATATCCGCAAATCCGTAAGAGTTTAGAACTGACCAGTTTTATTCCGTGATCTTGAGCGTGTTCATAAGACATAAATCTACTACACAAATCCTGTCAACAAGAAACATTTAAGTCAGGTAACAGCGAGCTGAATATTCCATTATAAAACTAAAAAACAAAAGTATCGAGAGACATTATATGGAGGGGTTCACTTTCAACCGAAATTTCAACCATTGCGTGACGCGGCAAAACAAGATTGACGTGTGACCGTTATATGCGTGACGAGTTTGCAATTTCAAACCATTTTAATTTCGGAGCCAAGCGGTGACATCATCTACACCAAGATTTCTATCTTCCTCAATCGCTTTTGTCCGATGTTTATGAAGATGTCCTCCGTCACATTTCCTCTGATCTGTTACCTTTTTTTCTTTCTCGAGTTCGTAAGCTCTCTCGATTGCTCCAGCAACTCGCACGAAGCGGATTACGAACCTTTCCCGCGAAATGTCACCCCGACAGAATTTCACACTCGCATGGAGATTACCTTGAGTCACCGAAATGCCACGTACTTTGTAGACGAGCGATACGATGCAGAAAAGGAGAGAGGGGCATTTACATTGTTGGCGCAGGAGTACGATTGGGAAACGTATTATGACAAAAGCAAGGATGAAATCGCGAATTTATATCTACCCGTCTTAGAAGACGAGGAAGAGAAACTGAATTTATACCTAAATGCGTGCAAGAGTTTCACATGGTAAGTTCATTAATTAAATCGCCAAAAAAAAAACAAAAAAAAAATACATATTTGTATCCATCAGTGGAGATTATGCCGCTTTAAGGTATCCTTGAAATTTGTGAGGGAATGCTCAGGTACTTCGACCTCCTTGCACTTTACTTTGCTGAAAATTTTGTGGATTAAATTGCCTGGTTTAGGTCTCGAATTAATATTTCATCATTTTTTTCAATATTTGCGTGTCATGCTTCAAGGAATGTGAATTCCTTTGTTTCCATTGTTTTGAATACCTGGGCGTGATGGAGATATGATCAGGTCATAATCTATTTGAAACATCATAACCAGATTTTAAAATCTGATGATTTATCACGTATTCAACATCTAGTCTGTTCCTTCGCGTGTACTCTCTCATCTATTGCCTCAGCGCCTTCGATGCATGTTAGAAAATGCTTCCAAGGAAGAGTTAAATGTCCTGCCAACGATTAGCCTACGTAGCTGGTGGTTTTGGGAGCCCCCCATGAAACTCCTAGCAGAGCGGGCGAGCTATCGGTGGACGTGAGGGAAAAAAATAACAAAAATAGCACCAACATAGGCTTTTATTTATTTCCATTTTTATTTTGGCATCACATCATCATCATCATCATCATCATCATTATCGTCATCGTTATCGTTACCGTTGCCGTTATCGTTACCGCTATCTTTAATTATCACTACTCTGTCTTTGCCATTGTCTCTGTCGCTGCTATCGAAATCGTTATCGTCGTCATCCCATCATTATCGAAGTAAGCCTGCGCTATCCACCGAATAACATCATCCTTCGCTCGACAATGACCAGGCTTAGCTCTTTACAACCTCGTTCCCAGGGCCTTTTCCCTTAGCTAGGGGTGGGGCACCCCACCCCAGCCCCACCCCCAACTAAAGGAAAAGGCCCTGGGAACGAGGTGAAACCCTTCCACTCCCATGATTGACGAAGACAGAACTTCTCCTTACAATCTATATACAATATCAAGCTAAGAAGTAATGAGAATACAGAAAAATACCAATAAGGAAATGTTGAGTTGATCCAAAACCAAATTCTCCAACTAACATCATAAGAATTGTATGGCAAAGAGTAAGGGGAATTGCTGACGAGATCTTAAGAGTGAGAGGGTCAGAACTTACCATCGACATTCCTATCCTGCAGTGTGCAGGACGTTTGTCGCCATGAACCTAGTTAAACGGCGTAGCCTACTAATAGGGAGGTCGAAGGTTCGACTTATAAATGCCTGTGTCATTAATAAACTAAATAACATCATCTTTCACCTCGTTATCCTGATTGTCGTCATCACCATGATCATTTTTGTCATCATCATCATCGTCATCGTCAGCATTATCATTATATACGGGTTATTGACCAAGCGTGAGGTGAAGATGGTTGTGTTATGGCCAAGGTCTTTTTCTGCGTTTTTATGGACCGAGACGCAAAAAAACTGATGAAGGAACGGGGCTAATATTCAGCCATCTTGATCGAACAAGCGTGTTCAATAAACGATTCATTATACCACAAAAATATTTCGCTTTAATGGTAATAGATACTAATATTTTGTTGCGGTTATCTGGGCTTTTTTGCAGGACACAGGAGAGATATGATCGATACAGATGCCGTTTTGCCCAAAGCGAAAGTTCCTTGAAGTTGATTGCAGACGCTTGTAGCGCAACTGTCGTATTAGACCTCGTGTACAAAAATAAAACACAAAATGCCAGATACCTCGGACAAAAAGCCGTGCGGAATATTGCTGTGAAAGGGTGGAGAATTTGCAAAAATGAGACTGCTTTGGACTATTGGTCAGTTTTTTATACGTGGGAGATAGATCCCTCCCCCGTAGTTTCGCTTTTCGTTACCTTTATTACAGTTTTAAGAAGCCATCTTAGTTTTCTTTTCTTCTTCTTATTTTTCAAAGCAATTATTTTCGCGCACTTTAACAAGCTATCTGACTTAAAATTAAATATGTTATCATCAGACCGCAAAATCCGAAATTTTGAGGTTCGGATCCGCTCGTCCCAACCTCGTGACAAATAAGTGCAACTGTCCTTACCTCGTTTTCATTCCCTTTTTATGACGTGTTTATTTTCTGACGTCATCTCCGCTTACCTAACTTAGTCTCACTAGATTGTGAAAATGGCAGTTGTCGAAAAAATACATAGGGGCGGGAAAGGGAACGGGCACAACCAACCTGAATCCATCCTCTCCGTCAAATCGAAAATTATGCGAAAGACTGGTTGTCCTAGGGTCCTTATTTTTAATATTTTCCGTGACAATAGCGACTCAAATTCGTCCAATACCGCTTCAAGGAAGTCTCTCGCACAATCCAACTCAACTGTAATAAAAACTGTATAAGCAAACCTCAGATGGCGCGATGAAGCAGAGACAAGGATGAGTTAAAGTACTAAATAGGAACCCTTGCTTGTTAAATTGTATTTCTTGAATTCTTTCAGGTTCTCTGTTAAAGGCTGGTCACACACATCTGGTAACGCCTCCGTCCCAGTCCTCATCGAGGCCCGGCCACAGAGCGCCGTGGACCTTACGGGAGGAATAATTCATTCCTACAGTTTTATTGACTTTTTCGTTAACGAACCTGAGTTTCAAGTTCAAAAAGAAATCTGGTGCCGAGGAGCTATCCGTCCACCTCCTTTACCTAAACTTCCAAGGAGATTTGACGTCAATTTGGAGCGAGTGACTGCAGAATCCACTCGAGTTTGGAGTGCCCAGGTAAGAACTGAGTAGTAAGAGTAATTGTGGTATATGGTGCATGCGCAGTGATGACGATACTTGTTTTTCTGGTCATAACCACAGGAATATTACGACCTCGACAAACACCTCTATAGAAAAGACTCGGATGGTGACCCGAATCAAACGACGAAAACTGGAGCAGGAATAGATATCCGGGATAGAACGACGATGAAAAGTACCTTTTACAACAAAGAGACAGGTAAAAGGTCGTGTTTTGTTGTCGGTAGCTCAACAGATAACTTCCTAAGTGACTCTTTCAGTCAATTTCATCATTGACCGTTATCGTCGTCATCGTTATCACTCCTTTCCTCCCGAGAGCATCAGGGGGCATCACCATTGCCTATTCCCTTCCCCCTCCAATTCAAATGAGAAGCTTATGTTGAAGCTCTTCCGAAGATTAGGCTAATTCCTCTCTCGCTCCTGCAGAATAGACTGTTTATGGTTGTTACCGTTGATAAAGTGCACTTTCTATCAAGGTACCAGGGTAATTACAACAGCCAATCAGAAGAATGATAAATATCAGCGAGAGCCAGTGAGCTCTCAAAAAGACAGGACCTTAGTGCGGGAAAACAGAAATGACAAAATCGCAACAAAGACGCGATTGGTTTCAATTTTGAATCTAATTGGTTGAGAAATAATTTGGATATATCAACAAAGTTGAAATGGTAAATTGGCCACCGTAACGATTACAAAAGCTGACGTGACGAGCGTTAGCCCTTCGTCGGATCGGAGCGAATAGAGGAATTGTGGGTTGTGTGTGCTTTTAAAGGCAGAAAATGGAGCTACGTTATTGGTGGGAACATGGCAACGAGAAAAAAAACGAATAAATTAGTGGAATGATTCTACTGATTCTATGTTAAGTTTCACCTTCCGAAAAACGCAGGTGTGTTGAACGGAGCTATTTATAGGTAGCATACTCTAACATTAGCATTCTCTAAGACAAAAAAACTTAGCGCTTTCATTCATTACCAGCACGTTCAGCCCCGACTCTACCTGGGTCTCCCTCTCACTGTCTCTTTCCCAGAAGCAGTTTATTTCACTGTCGCTGTCAATGTCAATGTCACTGTCTCGATCTTTGCCACTGTCTTTGTTATTGTCTCTGTCTCTTTCTATGCCAAACTTACCGTCATTATTTTTGTCACTATCAATTTCCTGGTCACGGTGTTTGTTATTATCACTGTCTGTTGCAATGTCACTATAGTTAACACTCTCTGTGCGTGTAACTGTCACTGCCACTGTCAAAGTCTCTGTAACTATCAGTGTCACTGAAAATATAACCACCACTATCGTCACACTTTCAACCCCGCAGTAACTGTCACTGTCTCTGTCACAGCTGCTATTACTATTACTGTCTCTGTCTTTATCACTCTTTCTCTCCTAACCACCGTCTCTGTCACTGTAAAAGTCACTCTAAAAGTCACTGTCTCCGTATTTGTCACTGTCACTGTCACTGTCAATATCTTTGTCTATGTCTATGTACCCGTCTCTGTCTCTGTCACTGTCTCTGTTTCCGCCACTGCCATTGTCACTGTCAGAGTCGATGTGACCTCATTATGACTGTCTTTCATTACCGTGTCATTACCTCTGTCTATCTCTCAGTCACTGTCTCTATCCCAATTACTGTCTATTTCACTGTCACTTCGACCTTCACTGTCTTTGCTTGCGATCCTGTTGCTCTCAGTCTCAATTTCAATGCTAATGTCACTGTTTCTGTCTTTATCTCTGTTATTGCCACTGTCACTGTTATTGTCTCTGTCAACGTTTCTGTCAGTATCACTGTCGCTATCTGTGTAGATGTGTTTGTCACTGTCACTATGAAACTCTCCGTCATTGTCAAGGTTACCTTCCTTGTCACTATCCAATCCCTCTCATCATCACAGTCATTGTCATTGTCACTGTCAGTGTTACTGTCACTGTCACGGCTACTTCCACTGTAATTGTCTCTGTCACTGTATTCTCCCTGTCACTAACCTTATTGTGGTGTATTTGTAGAGACTGGGCAGTATTCGTTCCAGTCTCCCCCGACGTTTGTTGTTCTGGCGGTGAAGCGATGCCATGTGCTCGTGAATCGAAATAGAATTAAACCTTTTCCTTCGTTGAATACNTTTATTCACATCTATAATTACAATTTCGCTGTTGATAAATAACAAAACCAGCTTCCCGGCCCTATTAAAAATACAAATGAATAAAGGCTGATAGTTTCGAAAGAAACTGTTTGGGGCTGCGTCGGTGGGAGTAACGAAATAATTTGGATATATCAACAAAGTTGAAATGGTAAATTGGCCACCGTAACGATTACAAAAGCTGACGTTTCGAGCGTTAGCCCTTCGTCGGAGCGAATAGAGGAATTGTGGGTTGTGTGTGCTTTTAAAGGCAGAAAATGGAGCTACGTTATTGGTGGGAACATGGCAACGAGAAAAACATGAATAAATTAGTGGAATGAAAAGCGTTCGTTGATCCCTGTGGGATTTTATTGGTTGAGATGTTGGCGTGACTTTCTAGACCAATCAGAGAGAGTAATAATGAAAAAGCAATGCAATGGCGCACTTCTTTAATAATGTAGGGGGTTTTACAGCTCGCTCGGACGAATTAACAAGAGGTGCCACGACTCTGTGCTTTTCTTCTTTTATTTTCTTCTGGAGAGCTACTACAGCAACGCTCTATGCATCTAATAATCATGCTCTAGCGTAAGGAACCAACGCTTGAAGTAGGAAAATCGTAGACATGTTTGGGTTAGCTGACCGTGCGAGTTTCCACAGTGTATCCGTTATTTTTCAAAAAGAGGAAAACTGGTTGGCCCTCACCGAAGCACTTGTCGAGCGCCAAAGAACCAATTGAACGCTAACAGCTGCGCACAGGAATTGCGCACACAAACGGGAACTCAGTGTGGGTAGAACTCAAGGTCAGCTTTACTAACCCAAACATGACCACCTATGAAACTAGCCATTTCCAACCATAACAAGCGATTAAAATAACTAGCACGGTGAGAAGGAAATCCACGAACTCAGCCAAGTTCAAGCACACGCTAAAAATAAAAGATCAAAACTATAGATCTACCAAAATAACACGTAGACGCAAAAAGGCGAGACTTAACAAAACAAAAGGTAAACCTAAAAATACTCAAAGTAGCAATCTTTTAAAATACTCTACAACATTCCTCCCCGCCTAAATCAGGCAACGTCCTCGATGCGTATGGTAAGGGAAGATTATATGCAAGACTTAACTATCTGAAGTTTGAAGTTTATTTCCACGTAAGTATCAGGTTATTATTACTAGGCTGGCTTGCAAATAGCGAAGAGCTAGTCGTGGCAAGCCAGACAATTGAAAAGTAATTTTACACAGTTTTATATTATAATATTTACATACAATTACAAGATGACAGAAGAAAGAGGAGAACTACAGACTAAAGAGACTAGACACTAGACTAAAGAGACTAATATCTAATACAAAAGAACTATTTTTTTTTTAATTTATACATATTAATTCAGCCCTAACCCAATCAAGCGGTCGTTAAAGTGGACTACGCTTCCTGCTAACAATAGATCGTCAAAAATAAAAACTTCTTCGTACTCGCGCGACGCGCGAACTAAAAGGCTACGGGCCAGAGAAAGGTAATCTCTTATCTTCAAAGTAAATATTACTTCGCGAAGCTGATTCTCTTCGAACAACGAGCAAAAATCATTCGCTAAGGGGGCCCGAAAGATATGACTCAAGAATTGCTCATGAACCATAAAGTAATGGGTAATATGTATAAATTCTACGAGTTCATCAGTTCCCCAATCAATGGCACGGCCGAGGCCGGAAAAGAATCCTAAAAATAAATCAAAATAGCAATCCTTTAAAATACTCTACAACAATAAGCCAATGAAGACTGCTGAAATGCTTAGGTGCTTATGAAATCTATGTCAATGGACAACAGGGCAGTCGTGTTCGGCTCGCTGGTTTATATTCCACCCTGTGTTTTGCCATTTTAAGCGCCATTTTTTATTAATTAATTATGGGTGATATCACAGTCCATAAGGATTGCTAGCTGTGCAGTACAAAAACCCACTGTAGTAAAAATTCGAATTGCTGTTCACTCAAGGTAAATGCAACGAGCAAAAATTAGCTTCTACAGCACCGACGTTAAAGTTTGAAGAGGACAACGCTGTATTCGACTCACCATTTGGTACAATAGCGCTCTTTGAAGATCCAGATGCAAGGCCTGTTTATCAAGGAAGGGGTGTGGCGCGTGGCATCAAGTGTGACGTATGGCGACAGCTGCGAATTAACTGGCCCGAAAATGCTCAAGCAAATACAATATGGAGATGGTTCTTTACTGAGAAGGAAGGTGAAGAGTCACAGCTGGTAAGAAGACATTCATACGGTCCTGTGATCTTTTGTCTCAAGAGACACAACGCGCTTTTATCTTCTGGTGGGGGAATGGACAGATAGGTAGTTATATGACACTCATATTTTTTCGGCTGGAGCATTACACGCTCTGTGTAGTAAGACTGTGTGACAAAGGACATCGCTATCTTGGACGGAAATGCTACACACAGATTGGTCCATTCAGTTTCTCTTGTTTTTTTGTTTTTTTTCTGTGGTCTAATTGATCAAGCGGATTTGTACGCCCTGTTGCGACTTTAAGGCATTGCCCTCAACTCAACCGATTAGATGCCATGAAAACCAATCGGTATTTGAGGCGCTTGAGGCCATCTGCATGTCGTTCTTTTGAATTTTATTGTTTTAAACTGAACAGTGTCCATTGCGTCTGACATATGTATACATGTCAAAACTAAGCTTGTATGTTCATGTAGTTTCTTCCATATGCCTTTAGGTGCCTGTCAGACTAGAGATAGAAGGAGAAGCAGCGATCAACTCCACCGACAGCGTTGAAATAGAGTTTAACCTCAACTTCAACTCGTTCGAAAGCCGTTACCCGACTGAAAACGCGTTCGACTCATCATCAATTTGCCCTCAGGAGCCAACAACGCAGAAGCAAAAAGGACTCTCCTCAGGGGGGGTGGCTGGGGTAGCGATTGGGTGCATTCTTTTAGGTCTGTGCTTTGGTTGCTTAGTAGTTTATTTTTGGTTTAAGAGAAGAGCACTGGCCAGAATGGGACCTCCACCCATGAAATTTCCTTGAGAAAATTTACATCGAAACCCGTTTTCAATGGTCTTTGTTAAACTTGGACCGTGAGCCATAAAAACAAACATAACAATAGAAAAATAGAAAATAAACTCGTCAAGATATTTACTTCCGAATTAGTGTATTGATTTGCCAACCTTTCTCTCCTAAATTTATTTTTTATTTATTACTTTTATCATTTTCGCACTTAATTCTCGATAAACCCCACGCATTTTTCACAACTAATAAGACGCAATCGCTTTTCATTTCACATACTAACATTCACAAAGCCATCATCAGATACAACATTCTTCATAAGAACGTCTGAAGCGGTCCGATTCTATCGTTCGACGAGAGATTATAAACTCTTGCCGTCGATGACTTTATAAGAATTAATAAAAATGGATCCTCTTATTAAACTGAATAATTTTTTTTCTGTAGGGGTCGCGATAATTTTCCATATCTTGAAATTTTATCACCTCCCTCCCGTCAAGGAAAGGCAATTTCTTCGAGGCGTAAAAACTGTCCAGCGCTATTCCAGGGCAAGTTCGGCCAGACATACATGCGTCCGTTTTTTAAGTGCTCAGTTCTATTTTAAAGAAGGGACTTTCAATTTATAAGTTTTATTTAGGAACATGAAAAGACTATTCATTTTGTTACCAGAAAATCGTTTTTCAAGGACGTTTGAGTAAGTATAACACTATATCACTCAGTATCAGGTGAACAAGGAATTCTGCATTGGAATACAGAGATGCCCTTCAATTTCTTTTTTCTTAATTTTCAAATAAAAAATATTGAGTTCACAGAACAACTTGCTCTTTAACCAGTTCTGTGATGCATCACAGAGGCGTTGAAATCGGACCAATTAGTAGAAATGGTGGCATTCAGTGGCGTCTCTAACAAAAAATTTAACTAATGTAAGGTTAATTAAAAACAAAAATGTGAGCATTGAGAAATAAGTTACTTCATTACAATCCTTTACAAATAAACAAATGCTGTTTTCCTTGTCGACATAACACTTCGCAATCAATTCAACCTTCTTCTTGCCTCACTCAAGCAGAAGGCTCATCGTACAGATTAAAATTCTTTCTTTTCCCTTCGTTTTCCCACCCTAGTCGCCAGTAAATCCAAAACGTACCATTTTCCTCAGACAATCCTACCGAACGCGCTCGCCGTCGCTGTAAAGGAGGAATCAAGCGTAGTCTGGACAACATATTTCTTGCTTGCTGTTCGTAAACGTCTCTGGGGTACAATTAATCGTTACTAGGTGAACTCCCCATTAAATGCACCGATAGATGTTGCCACTGGATTTTGGATATGTGCTTGTTCGTCTTTCTCCGGCATCAGCTCAAACTTTCTGAACCGTTCAATCAGTCAGCTTGTTGTTTTAAAGGTGTGGCTAAGATTGTTGTGGCAACACTACCTTACCGTTGCCACGGCAAACTACTCGTTTGTACAGGTTGTTTACTGGTTAGGACGGCCCTTAGACGGTTCGTACGTCACTTAACTAGCAAACATTGCTCTGTTGATAATATTGTCATGGAAGCAAAACAGGCAAACAAGGAAACAAACCGGCCAAAAAAACACAAACTCATGGGTGAGTTACCTATGCATTTTCCATGCAAGTCTTCTTCGATTTTTGGTTGATATTGACGCAACGAAAGTTTGGCGACCACGCCATGGTGTTGTTTTCACGGGCAACTGGCTACGTTTCTGGTGGCAACGTGTCGTTTGATTTCTTTTGGCGAGCTTTTACATTTGACGGTTGGTGACGCAACGGCTCTCGAGATCGATTCGGTTGCCATTGGCAACTAGGAAGGTTGGCCTTAACAACACCGTTATTTTGCGATTAAAACCCCGTTACAAAACGTTTTTTGCGCCTCACTCATCGTTTCGTTAAAATTTCAGCCCCACACTGTATGCCTTTTAAATATAATATTCCCCTCTTCTTTCAATATATTTTCGCTTATTCGGAGAATGAAGACTGGTAAATATTTTCGTCTCGGGTCTTTGTTGTCGGGAGATGAAATAGAGTTTCGGTTCACTTTCTCGAATGAAATATTGTGGAATGATATTTTTTAGGCAACTAACTGCAATCCAATAGTTTTTAGTTTGTCCCCGACGGCAGTTTCGTGGCACCAGTGCATTTTATTTCTGCTTATAAACATTGACAACAGGGACTTAGACCACATAATTCCTGTGTGGCAACATTTCCGTGCATTTGTCTGTGATAAATAAAGTGTGGCACAATTGGTTTAATCTCTTAGCTATTGCTTTTGATACGATTTTTGCGTCAACATAATTAGTAAAAACGGTCGCCGGTTTTTTAGAAATCTTCTGTCTTTTCTTTCCTTTACTAAAAGAGATAACTGCTTGTTTCTGTGAAGTAGAAAGTTACCATTACCATGCGAAAAGTTCAGGCCATTCAAGAAATAGAATACTGAAAAAAGATGGTAAGTTTTGAGCTCGATAAAAAAATAAGAAAGTCCCCATGAAGAATCGAACCTCAATCTTCGGATTCTGCGCTCCAATGCTCAACCAGTAGCCACAGAGACTCTATGGTGAGCAAGGCCCATTACGAAGTTCTTATAGGACACGCGTCCTGCATACTCTTAGGATCTGCAGTGTCGACAGCGTCGTGTTTTGTAAATCGTAATTGGCCTTCGAAATGGGCCTTCGAAATGGGCCTTCGAAATGGGCCTTCGAAATGGGCCTTCGAAATGGGCCTTCGAAATGGGCCTTGCTCACCACAGTCTCTGTGGCTCGGTGGTTAAGCATCGGAGTGCGAAATCTGAAGTTTGATTCCGCCCTATGCAAAACGACAAGGTAAAATCTCAAATATTTACATGGTACAAGAACGGAAACCACGACGGAAAATTAATTATTCAAGTTTCCAAGATTTGGAACTCAACGCTATTCACACACGTTACGCCGAAGTTGAGATGCAGCGGAACACATAAAGCCATTCGAGAGATTATAATTAAAGATTGCCGCCCTGCCAGCATGCTTAAGGTCCCTCATGTTTCTCGTAGTTTATGCGGTTCAAATGGAAGACATATCATACAGGAGTCTTCTTGTCGAAAAGTTCCTCGTTGGCTATTTTTTAAACACTCGGAAAATATTCCCAAGAGGTGAAAGAAAACGTACACTAAAACCGTAAAAACTCAGTACAGGAACAAAACAGTGGATATACCTCTAGGGGTTCGTCAAATATAGGCGTCAGCAATGAGATCATGTCATCATCTTCCTTGATCCAGACAACTAGCTGGCTACTCCTTTCTTTATTGCCGTCCCTTCTGATAGCGGTTTGGTCGCCAGTAAACCCAAAACGTACCATTCTCTTCCGACAATCCCACGGAACGTGCTCGTCGTCTTTTTAAAGGAAGAATCAATGGAGTTCTTGCAAGATTAAAACTAGGCGGGAGAAAAAGCACCTCGACAAAACACTTAAAGATGGTCTTTGTTCGACTTCTATTCTTGTTCACTGTAGGTATCTGCGCAACTGCGCACCCACCCCTCTCCTAACCCAATATTAACCCTAACTTGTTATCAGTTGACTGTTCAGTGTTCAGTTAGGAGAGGGGTGGGTACGCACATCATCGGATACAAGCATTGATGTGAACTTATCAGCTGTAAAACTCTTTTTATTGTCATATAAACGGAACTGAAGTATTCAACTTTGAGTAGACTCCTTTTGTTCATTAGTTCTTCTTACAAAATTTGCTATTTACCTTAAAAAGCCAACTACGAAAAATTTCAATTTACGACATTTTTCTTTCCTTTGCCATTCTTCTCTGCAATGTATAAATTAGTTTCATCGTTCATCACTGTCAATTTGTTCCATATTTCTATGAACTAAATTCAGCGTAGCTCTGTGGTCCACTTTTGCCAAAGTCACATCTGATTATGACTGCTAGCATACTGTTCAAAGTTCCTTCCCCTTGAATTGAAAAAAATCCATTGAACGTGCGGTTGGGAATCCTTCTGTGATAGAGAGGCAGACTGCTAACGTCCTGAACTTTGCGAAAGGGACTGTGAGCGCGATGCGCACCGAGAAAGCTTAAAAATTTCCCAAGGTATCTGATATTTCTACCGTCTAAGAAGAAACGTCGGGTCATTCCAGTCGCGAACTATTTTTCACAAGTCGTTAACATTTTCCAATTGAAAAGATTGAACGTAGAAATTTAGCCTCAGTATTCCTGCTCCCTCTACCGGACTTTTCTACTCTTGAGTGAAAAACCTTCATTGAAGCTTTCACTACAGAAAATCTTCCCCAACATTTCGGCTCAGTTTCATTAATGTATGATGTCTCGCTTGATCGACCACTTTCAAGGCACATCTATCTGTAGGGGAATTAAAAAAGATCCCTTTCAAGACATCTTGAGTACATCGCGACAAGTGATCATTTCTTCAACGCAGAGGGTGCAACCAGGTTCTGGATTAGTCCATAAAATATACTCTAAGCCTCAAGCCAGATAACGCAATGATCCACAGTTACTTGATCAGAAATCTCCAAAATATAACTTCTCAGAAAAACACTTTACTCAAACGTCTTGTAGTGAGTTTTCTTGCAATTTTAACCTGATTTGAAAAAGCATTTAATAGTAGTGTGAAGTAAACGCCAAGAGATTCCTTGATGATAACTGGGAAGTTGAATGATTTTCCAGTTCAAGTGTACCACTGATATGCAGCAGCTAGAATGTGAAGGAACTCATGCCGTGATTGGTTGTTTGTTGTGTATTCTCAGCGCAATTGGCACGGTTGTCATATACCAACTGCTGCTTCTACGTCCTCCCAGTATCGGATGTCCATTGGTAGAGGACTGGTAAGGTCACCACAAAACCTGACGCACTAAAGGAAAAATAGTGTACCATGCAGCAGCTAGAATGTGAAGAAACTCATGCCGTGATTGGTTGTTTGTTGTGTATTCTCAGCGCAATTGGCACGGTTGTCATATACCAACTGCTGCTTCTACTTCCTCCCAGTATCGGATGTCCATTGGTAGAGGACTGGTAAGGTCACCACAAAACCTGACGCACTGAAGGAAAAATAGATGGTGACCAATCAAAGAAAAGTTGACAAAAACAGAAAAGACAGAACGGACGAACAATAGGACACGCACAGGAAGGCTTCGCGTTTAGTTCAAAGGTTTGCTCGCTACGTTTCGCTAATTGATTGGTTCCATGAGGAAACCAATCATCCAGCCACAAAAATTAAAACAAAAACAAAAACAAAAACAAAAAAAAACAAAAACAAAAAACAAAAAAAACAAAAAAAAAAACCAGACAGACAAACACACAAAGACGACAAAGTCACACAAAAACTGAATGAGAGAAAATAGGAAAGGCTTCAATAGGGGAAAGAGCGGAGGAACGAAGAAACGAGCGAACACTTGGAAGATCACCGAACAAAGAAACGAACGACCGCGCGAACGACCGAACGACCGACCAAACGAACGACCGAACGAACGACCGAACGAACGACCAAACGAACGACCGAACGAACGACCGAACGAACGACCGAACGACCGAACGACCAAACTGACCTCAAACGAACAACCGCCGGACTAATGTGATGAAGGAATAAACAAACAAAATTTTTACTGAGCGACCCACGAAACGAACCAAATAACGAGTTATTGATCCAATGAATAGACAAAAGGTCAAGGGGAGGAATCGAATAACGAACGAAGGCGAGAAAAACAAATAGATAAATAAATAAGAAATCAACGTGTTGGAACTTTGTACAGTTCACACAAAGAATAAATAATGGATTGTTCTATACATACGATGCAAATTATTGTTGTTAATAAAAGGAGAACAAAGCAAATCAAAATCTCAAGGCAAACTCAAAGGTACTTACCCCAATACTGTCATTATAACTCCCGGAGGACCGGGTGTAGGAAGTTCTTTTCGTTGCCTTTTGTACAAACTTTTCCGACTCTTCGTCCCAGGGCCTTTTCCTAAACCGAGAGTCGAGTTTAAAGACATGCCCTTCAGTGCTAAAAATGTAATTTGAAGCGTCTTGGTTGAGATGGTTGCTGTCATCGAACAGCTATTTTAAAAAAGAAACTAAAAGTCAGTTGAAGGCTTTAGGTCACGTGCCATGAAACCGAAACCAATGTAATCACAGTGGCCAATCAGAACAAAGGTATACATCGGACGAAGCCAATAAGGATGAAGCGCGGGAAAACGCGGATGGCTTTGCTTGCATCAGATTAGTTGTGAGGGTGGTGCAAGATTTCTTGACCTATCACAGCCGGAGGTGAAGCAAAGCCGATATACTTTCCAAGTATTTTGGCTTGGCTAATGGGGAAGCGTAAGTGACTCTTTCGCTTTCCCATTCTACAATCGTTGTGTTATAAAGAAACTAAATTCAACGACTCGTCATCATTAAATCTCTCTTGTACAAAAGATTGCTGTTTCGTTAAATCCTACAACAACTTATTGAGGAACATTTTAGAAATGAGCCAAAACACCCCAATCAAAACCAAGGTGCTTTATAACATAACCAAACTAAAGCGCGCGCTCTGATTGGTCAATTTAGCGTCCCCCACATCCATAACAAAAAAACAAACAAACCAACCACTACCTGCACATCACACACACACACACACACACCAACCTTGCTTTGTTATGTTTTTCTATGTCCCTCATGATTTCTCTACCAACGTGGAGGTAGAACGGGTGATGGGTGGCCTGCAGCAGAAAAAGCAAATTGTTGAGGTATGTATTACATTCCTTAGCGAAGAGAGACACAGGGAGAGGAAGGTATTTTGCCCAAGAATACAACACAACGACTCAGCCAGAGCGACCGCGCTGCCCGTGATGCCACCACGTCTGCCATAGCTCCTATTTACCAAGCAACTTACCTGATGTAAAAGGTAAGTTGATTCAATCAGCTCCGGTCTTAGTGGAGAGAAGTGAACCTCTGACTGTTTGATTTGCCAGTTGAATCTTTCCGGCATAGCCCCGTACTTTTTCCAGATCGCGTAATACAGAGCATGCGTACAGATGGCTTCTTTGATGTCCCCTTTTAGCACCTGAGTCGATGAAAGTAAAACATGTTTTATTACAGTGACTATCATTCAATACATTTTTCTTCTTTCTTACTGACCATGAGACGATTACGTGACCAACAAATAATCGTCCTTAAATAATATTCTGCCCACCCATGGATGTTTCCACGCTCTCCCCTCAGGGGTCCCCTAAGGCTCTGTAGTATTGTTGTGATCCCTCCCTCATTGCTGTCAATTTTCTATAGTCCCCCGACAACTGATGCCCCTGCTTTCCCCCTGAAAACCAAGTGATCCCCCTCCTTTCCCCCTGAAAACCATGTGATCCCTCTCGGTTCCCGCTGAAAACCATTTGATCCCTCTCCGTTCCCCCTGAAAACCGTGTGATCCCCCCTCTGTTCCCCCTGGAAACCATGTGATTCCACCAAAATCCTCCAACCCCCCCTTGCCCCACGATAAAGAATGATTGTTCCATAAAACACATATGTTTTAAGCACCTTTTGATTGTTGGAATTACGGAAATCGCGCAAGGCTGCGCTCAAGAATAAACCCTGTGCGTCGTAAAATTGTTCGCTAACCCAGCGCGGATTTAAGTTGTAATTGCTAAAAAAAATCTCAGATTGTTTACCTGTACTCCTGCAAACGACGCGGAAAGAGCATCTATCCACAAGTTAGCTGTTTGGCCGGAGTTCATGTGCACATTCACATACAAGGGTGTTGAACCATTACCTTCATTGCATTTAGGTCGACTGTACGAAAAAGGAAACAGAGCAAACATTCTTGCTTAATAATCAATAGCACAACGACACGCCCCATGAGCCTCTATAAATATACAAATATGTTTACGTTGTACAAAAGGCCGCTATTCAAACTAAGTTAAAAATTTTTTTAAGGTCAAGAGTGCAGCCATTTATTCCCATACAAATCCTTCTCATTCATCCATTGCACAACGTGAAAAAATTTAAACATTTGTGGAATAACCAAAGTGAGGAAAAAATGGATGTATCACTTTAATCCAAACTAACCACTTCTGAAGGATGTGAATTTAGCCCCTTCTATTATTCCTTACAAGCTGGCAGCCGAGTTCTCAAATCCATGGTCTCATTTATTTTCAAAATCCTGAATCTCGCTCACTATTTCCTTACACATCTTAACTAGTATCTTGCATCCCTGATTTTGGATGAACTGAGTCCCGCAGCTTAAAAAAAAACCTTGCTGTAAATCCTCAGTTTCAGCATACAGCTGTACGTACAAGTTAGCCATTTTTTTCCCTTCTGCAGTGAATAAAAATATAGTGACATGGACTAGGGAATTGTTCAAAGCTTTTCTGGCTCTGCCTCACCCTTTTCGCAGATATCTGTTTATTGCTTTATAGATGTCATTAAATCTTTTGAGATCCTCTGTCTCACCAAACATAATATAACCCTAAAAAAAAAAAACAATTTAGGAATAAAATTTAAAATTAGGTTCTTTACACGGATGAAATAAAAAATAGTAAACTACTGATGAATGACCATGAATATTTTACTAAAACGAGGGGATCAAAAAGTTTCTGGGAGGTGGGTTGGGGGCACGGGAAGGTGAGTGACACAGGTCCCTTAGTATGCGTTGATAAATTCGCATTTCTATCCCTGTTTCCCTTGCAGAAAAAACATTGTTTATCCCTATAGACAGAACGGCTTAAAAGTAAGTTGACAATCCCTTAAAACTCAATCCTTGGTACTTCACTCTTTATCCTTGTGTCCTTAAACGAGGAAACAAAGCAATTTTTATTCGATTAATTTTTCATAAGACTAGAAGCTTCTTACCTTTCGACATACCCATACCCACACGAGCTAACACCCAGTCCCCAATTGATTTACTGAGGACATCAACAGTTTAAGCTGGGTTCTTACCTTTAACAGATACTCATAAAAGGAATCTAAGCCAGCACCTAATCCACTCATTTTTCCTGTCCATTCTCCAGTCTCTACATTAATAGGATTTCCTATAAAGCAATCACACATAAAAAAAAAATGTGATTCCTTGGCTTTTGCAAGGAGGCATTAGAATGCACTCTCTATCAGTTTATTGGTATTGTAATCCACATGGGACATTCAGAGAACACAAGAAAAGTTGGTAAATCATAGGCTGTAGTTGAGTGGTTTAAAGGCTGTTTATAAATTGTTCAATTCATTTTTGATTGCTCCTAGAAGTGAAGGGGTCACGGAGTCCTCCATTAATATTAATAACTCACCAAGTAGCCCAGTCTCTACAGAACGGCGCTTCCAAAGAGCCTCCACTGCTTTCCGGGAAAAAGTTTCAAAAACTGGATCACCCAGAAGCCTGCTCAGAATTCCAAACTCTAATATAATAGTACCAGCACCAGCTGTACAAGTTTCGTTATATACAATTGATGGCAGACCATAAAGTAAATTTACCTGCACAGAAAAAAAATATAAACAGTGTTATATCAGAGTATTGTCATCTTTGGGTTTGTAACACTCCTTTTTTAACTCTTTAAGTACTCATCTCTGATTATTAATTCTCCTGTCTAGCTACTCTTCATTTCTGTGTTAATTAGCAAAGAGAATTTGGTGTTGGAGCAAGACAAGTTCTACCTGAAAAGGAGTTTTTGATTCAGTGTCATACATACAACCAAACGTGAAGTCATCACTTAATTGCACCAGCTAATCACAGGAGACATATTGAATTACCCCCGGTATATCAAATACTCGTTACTTTTATTGAAGATTTTCATTTTTTAAAAAGATTTCTTGTTCTAGTGTTGGGAGGCCTGTGCCTCCCACAAAGCAATTAGCAGGCTCAGAGCAAGCACAAGGAGAAATGAGTCAACATGTTTATGTTGTAGTTTTCCTTAGCTTGACTGAGTGTGGATTTCCTCAAGCTCCTACATAATCCAATCACGCAACTGATCTCGATTGTTTGGAGTTTTTAAATAAATTGTGGATTTTACGACTACAATACTCCCTAAATTCAAATCAAGTAGTCTTTGACCTCAAGAGAGACTTGCATCTGATTTCTCCTCACAATATCATTGCTGAAGTGCACATTAAAGTTGCAAGAATAAAGAAAATGATCACCAACTAGAGAAGCTCTTCTCCTTGTCAACACCTTAGGACATGTATCAGTAGAGGACAGTATGGAGGATTTGCATACCGATGTTAGGGAGTTAAAGGTTGGAGTAGTAGTATTACAATCTACTTACCCTAGGATATGGAATTTTTGTGGCTGATGTTTCAAATGCAGCCATCAGCCTATTTGCTACATCATGAGCCAGAAGCAATAATTCATTATCATAGTCTAATGGCACCATATCCCCAAAAGGCTGAAGAGGATCTTTAATGATCAGGTGCGCAGACAGCAATGATCCAAGAACTCTGCCGAAAAAAAATCTAAAGATAAACTAAAGAATACAAAAACTTTAACCCTTTACAAAAAGTATTGGACAGATCAGGGGTTTTAAAACAAGCAGGCAACCTGACTGGAGTTCTGCTGGCTACTTGATAACACTCACTGGTTACTCTGGTCAAATAATTACCTTTAGGCCCTTAATGAACATATTGCAGCACTTGTTTTTGAAGAATGTGACATCTTTCTTAAAACATTTTTGAAACCCCTGATAAATATTTCAGCTCACCAACAAGGTTCATTGCTTAACTTGATTTTCATCTGCCAATCAAAATTTATTAGTATGTTGAAAAGTATCATGAACTGCTTCCTTCACAAGAAAGAAACACCCTCTAAAATGTTCTTCACTCTCAATGTGAAGCTTTGTAGCTCAGTTGGTAGCAGCACTCATCTAGTATCTGCGAGGTAATTTAAAGGCTCAGATCCCATCAAAGCCTAATTTTTGTCAGGCTTCTTTTCTGCATCTGCTTGTCCCTTTATATCCCAAGAGAGAGAGAGAGAGAGACTTTATTTCAAGAGGGTAGCACGTGACAGTAGTTAAACTGATAATCCTGTGGCC